TTCAGCTACTATAAAAAGTGGCGTCTGGAGGGGCTGGGCCCAGGGTGCTCAGCCATGGCTAACACTCCAGAGCTCATGCCAAGGGCTCGTCCTCCTCAGAGCCCCAGTCTGACTGGTGTGGGGCAGCCCACCAGGGATTCTGATGTCCAGCCAGGGATGCAGCGAGACCAGTGGTGGTCAGGGCCCTTGAGTCCAGACCTGTTGTCCTTCGCCCTGCCATTGCCAGCTGTGTCACCCCTTTCCCAGCCACAGTTTGCTCCTCTGCCTATGAGAATGCTTCCGGCCTAAAGGACAGGCTGGGACCTGTGGGCCTGCAGATGTGAAGGACCTTGAGAGCTAGAGCATTGCAGCAGGTGTCGCAGAGTCTCACGGAGCCAAGGTTGCCACTTGGCATAGGTCCTTTCCAGAACACTCTGCACGGGGCTCCTGAGATGCCACAGCCCCTCTGCTCATTCATGTCCCTTGCCCATAGAAAGAGGAGGCTTTCAGGGTGTGGCGGCAGCACCTTCGAGATGGATCAGTCTTCAAGACCACACTGCCTGGTAGTGGGAGCTAGAGCTGTAATTACACTTGTGTAGGTGCAAGGCTGGACTGGGCAGGGATCTTGATTGTCCTATGACGGGTCTCCCTCACCTGGGGCTGACCCGGCCTCCGAAGTTTAGCCCGACGATTTCAAACACCGGGCCTGTACTGCTACCATGTGGCAGCAAGGGGAACTGCAGCTGAGTTTATCTTCGGCCTTGGAGTCTTTGTCTCTTTCCCTCCCTCCCTCCCTCGTCACACTAGGCCAGGATTGTTAGCATTGAGCTATATCTCTGGCCCCTTTTATTGAGACAAGTTCTTGCTCATTTGCCCAGGCTAGCCTAAAATTTGTGATCCTCCTGCCTCAGCCTCCCAACTAGCTGGGATTACAAGCAAGGGACACAGTGACTAGCTTTGGAGTCTGTTTTTCAGGGTCAGACTCAAGCTCCTAGCACAAGTGGTCTGAGAGGGGGCTCAAGAATCCACACAGTTGACGAAAGGTTCCTGGGGCTGCCTTTTAAGAAACAGACCAAATCGTCATTTAAATATACCTCCCATGTGATTCTTTTTTGAAACTTTTCTTTCCATGTGATTCTTGTGTAGGGCTGGTGACTTGATGCAAAAGGGCCAGGACAAAATGAAAATATAGATCCCCTTGTTCAGAAATGACGAGAATTTCCAGACAGTGACACAAATGCATTACAACAAGCCTGGGGCCCTGTGTGGCTGCACTGGGACACGGCCAGGAAGGTGGTCCTCTTCTTACACCCTCCAGATGTGGAGAATCTTGCTGTAGTTGCTCGATCTGTTAAATATGTCTGAAATTTACTACTGGAGAGTTCTATGACTTCAGACACATTTATAACCTTAATAAATCTCATTAGCCTCATCTTTAAACATTGGGATAATTTGTATCTGAAACAGTTGCTTTATGAATATGAAATTGTTTCTGTCGTATACTTAATGCTGCTGAAATGTAATTTTCATTGTCCTGGGCTTGGTGTCAGGTATTTGGATGAGGAGATGAAAAAGATGGAGGCCTTTGTCCTTCAAGGCTGACACTGCCTGGAAGGAAAACGGAGTGTAAGTCGGAGATGGGAAACCAACCACGCCCTCCAGGAGGCACTTGGGGCAATTACAAGGCATCTTGGGGTGCAAAGTAGAGATGAGAAAGGCTCACGTGTGTGTGTGTGTGTGTGTGTGTATGTGTGTGTGCGCGCGTGTGCGCACGCCTGTGGTGACAGGGTTCAGACAGAGGGAGCGTGTGCAAATCTTCAGTCCTGAGGGGGACAGGGAGACCTGCATGCGGTTAGGGTAGGAAGTGAGATGTAGCAGAAGAGGAAGCCAGAAAGGAGCCCTTCACCAAGAACTTCAACTCCGCACCAAAAGCTGGGAGGCACCAAGGGAGGAATTTAGGCCGAGGATGAGCATGATTGGGTTTGAGTTTAAAAAGTGAACTGCAACCATGCCGGGTGTTGTGGCACATCCCTGTAATCCCAGCTACTTGAGAGGCTGAGGCGGGAGGATCACACATTAGAGGCCAGCCTGGGCAGCTTAGCTAGATTCTATTTCAACATAAAATAAAATATACAATAAAATAAAAACTGCTGAGGATGTAGCTAAGTGGTAGAGAACTTGCTTAACATGCATGAAGCCCTGGGTTCAATTTCCAGCTCCACCATCACACACACACACACACACACACACACACACACGCACACAATCTGCCATCTATCACCTATCTATCATCTATCTATGTCTAGTATGGAAAACAATGTACAAAAGCGAGGGGTGAGGAGGAGGATTTGCAGTCCAGTGAGAGATGAGGAAGACCGAACTAGGCCCAGGAGACTAAGAGAGGGGTCAGGTAGAAGGACTGTCAATAAGGTCTCTGATTTCCAGGGTTTGGTGGCTTGCCGATGTGGAGTTCAGTGAGGAGTCATGACTGATGCTTGGCGTCTGGCTCGGACAACTCAGTGGATGATGGATGGAGCCATTGTCCGAGACAGGAGGAGAAGTAGGGTAGGGGGAAGAGGACAAGGGCAACAAAGAGGGGAAAGAAAAGGAAGAGGGATGGTTTGGGAGAAGACGTCACGTTCAGATTTTGCTGTTGTTGTTGAACTTGAACTTTGTAAGGTGTGCGATACAATGACAAGAGAGGCAAAGTACCTGTGCTTGCAGGATGAGTTCACCTGTGGACATGTTGAGTTTGAGTTTTGGGGGGGACACTGGGTAGACAAGATGTTCTTGTCTGTTTCCTCATCCCTGTCCAGACGTCCAGTTTATGATTGAGTCCCGTCACTTGTATCTAGAAGCTACTGGTCACCTCTGCCCCTCTCTCCCATCCCTTCCTTCCCCAGTGCAGAGGAAGATGGGGAGATGGAGTAGTGCTGTTGGAAGGAGGTAATCTAGTTAGGAGCCCTGGTATGTATTTCCTGGGCAGGACCAGAGCCTACAGAGTCTGGGCGATCTGCGATGTTAGCCCACAGGAACTTTGCTTGGAAGGGCTCAGCAGTGCTGGCCAGGAGAGACCATGTTGGGAGGAGAGGCTTCTCCAAGCCTGAGGTGCTGCCAGGCAGGTGAGCCCCAGACAAGCAGAGGCTGAGGGCAGAGCTATGGAAGGGCTGATGGGTTGAGAAATAAAATGGAGCAGACCAAAGACTTTCATCTCTGTTAGGTAAAGTGCTGACTTTGAAATGTTCTGCCCCATTTTTCTTGCTGCAGTGGTAGAACACAAGGGGAATGGGGGGTGGGATTTTCAGATTTTTGGATGTGGAACCCACTAGGGTCCCAAGGCTCAGAGTGTTCTGTGAGTTGAGAGAGCTGAGGAAATGTAAACAGGGCCGTTGGCTTCAGACCAGACACCGCCTGCAGGGGTGTGAGAAGGTGGGAGGCCAGCAGATCCCAGGCCCCAGCCTGCAAGTGCCCCAGGCAGATCCTGTGACCCCCGAGGTGCCTAGCTGTCCCCTGACCAAGAGTTGTGTGTTGGTGGGTGAGGGGTGGAGTAGCTGAGAGGCAGATTGCTCAATGGCTTTGGGCTGTGTGCTGCAGGCTCTGGATGAGGGTGATGAAGGTAGAAGGAGACAAGAAGAATGGGGGAATGGAGAGGCGGGCTAGGGCTGTGAGGTCTGGAGATTGATGAGCCCCAAAGAGGAGCCTCTAGGGGAAGAATCTTTCTCCGCAGCCCCTCCAGGTATGTGTGGGCCAGGGCAAGTGGAGGATCTCCACTGGAGACACCAGAGACAGTCCAGGGGCATGGTGTGGTGAGCCTTCCATGGGTTCCTTCTCCCGTGCCCTGACTCTGCCCCCTCCCTGCACATCCTACTGCAGGTCTCACAGCCTCGGTCTCTACCTTCACCGCTAGGCACTGAGGGCAGGGGCTGGGTGACTGGGCATTCAAAACACGTGCATGGGCCTCTTGGATGGGAGCAGTTACTCTGAACTGGAGGGAACCTGAAGAGTTTCAGCCACCCCAGAAGCACCTGTGTCTAGAGGAGGCCCAACCCCCTTGGCAAGGCAGGGGCTCCCCATTACTTCACTCGCCATGTGACTCAGAGAGAGCAGGATGCCAGGACTCCTGAGGGCCTCACTGTTGAGCTGGGCAGAGTGGAGATGCCACCACCTACATCTTCCAGGTGTGCTGATGGCCTGGGAGGCCTGCGGGCGCCATCAGTGGAACACTTACAGGGCAGGATTTCTGCCCTAGGCTCTGTGAATGAAGAAGGACCACAAAGAACCCAGAGAAAATCCCAGAGAGAAAGGGCTGAGGAAGGAGGATAGCCACAGAGAGACTGGGGCAGAAGGTAAGAGGGTGTGGCTGAAGGCTGAGGGCCACTTCATAGCTTTCTCTTCATTGGGCACAAACAGCAGTGGGGGCTTGGTAGGAGCTGGAGGTAGAATTCCCCCGGGCTGGAGGTTCTCAGGAATGAAAAGCTTCCATGGCACTGGAATAGGCAACTGGGGAACTTTCTAGAAATGCCTTTCTTAACCTCCTCTCTAAGGGGAAGAGATTCATGTGTTGAGGAGTGGATGAAGAGCACTTTATTTAACAGCGGTAGTGGAGATGAGGTGACAGTAATGACAGCAGCGAGCATAACAGCGGTGGAACATATACCCAGTGTTTGAAATTCCACGAGCTTTGAGGCCGTTCACTCACTCAGTAGCCCTGTAAGGCTGCGCCCTCTGGAAGGGAGGCACAGAGGGGTCAAGGTCAAGGAAGTAGCAGGTTAGAGTGAACAGGGAAGGGGCGCTCTGGCCCTGGTGGACAGGTCTCTGGGAGGAGTGGCCACCTGGTGGACAGGTCTCTGGGAGGAGTGGCCACCTCCGTTCGCCTCTGGAGGGAGGGAAGCCCTGGGCTCTAGCCTCAGCTGGGTCCTTTCCCCTTCCCCTCTGGTTTGTGGCCTGAGGGGAGTCCCAGGTGCTCGCTCACCTTGCCCCTACCTACCTTCCCTGTGTCCCCGGAGGAAGCCCACGCAGGCTGACTGAATGCATAACTTTATTAAATAAATGCTTTGTCATGACAAAAGACAAAGATCAAGGAGTAACATAAATTATAAGTTGAATAAATAGTATACAGCAATCTTCACTTTTTAATAAAACGTGAGATCCTCTGGGTTTTTTTTTCTTTTTATTTCCTTAAGTACAAAATACCAAACAGGAGCCGAGCTCTTCCGCATTCAGGTGATTTTTTTTCCTGCTTTTTTTTTTTTTCACAAACTGTTTTGTTTGTTGGTTTATTTTTCCATCCTTTTCACCAGTAAAGATGAGCATTTATTTTTTTTAGTTGAAAACCAAAAAGAGGAGAGAACAGAGCTATGGTATGCCTGTATGGAACCCTACTAAAGAACTACAGTAATATGTGCGGTGGTTATTGCTGTCTTTAAAAGAAAAACTACCCCAAACAATCAGTAGGCAACTCGGAATCTGAAGGAATCTTGTCTGACCACTGTGCTATCCATGGGGGCTACTGTGTGGCAGTGGTGGTGGTGTGGATGGGGTGAGGCTGGTGACCAGGGACCAGAGAAGCAGGGTGCATGGGAGCAGGGTGGCTGGGGTCCCCTTCCCCTCTGTCCCTCCCACCTTCCCTTTCCCCATCCGGAAGGATTTAAGGAGAAGAGGGCCAGAGTCTGTGCCATGGCTAAACTATGTACTCCATCAGAAAACCAAGAAAGCATGTTTTCAAAAAGAAACTCTAACCTAAAAGAAAGAAAGAAAGAAAGAAAGAAAGAAAGAAAGAAACAAGTGGAGAAACAGTGCAAAATAATTCTTGCACTTTAGTGGTTTTAAAAATAAAGACGATGCAACACTCAGGTTGCTGTTGGATGAAATCCTCCTCACTTCCCTGTCTCAAAACAGCCTCCTTCCCTTAGAAGCCAGAGGCTCCTCTCTGAGGCTAAAGGCTCTCTCTTCTCTGGCCCACTCCCTCTCAAGCCCACATTCGGAACTGGAGCCTTCTAGGCTTCTGAGCTGACAGAGGGAGGGGGTGGGGCCCCACCACAGGGAGGGGCGTGGCAGTTGCCTTGGCAGCCCCTGTGTCGCTGAGGACCTGGTGGTAGGAGGAGGGTAGCCCCACAGGGTTACCATGGAGACAGAGGAGGCACTGAGAAGATGGGGTGAGGGGAGAAGAGGGTGACCACAGAGGGCCTCCCAAGCCTCCCGCCCTCGCCCATGTGGGGCTGATGTCCCCAGGCCTGTCTAGGCCTGGCTGTCAGAGAAATATTTGAGTCTCTCTCCCTTCCAGGTGTCCTGGTTTGCCTGGCGGGTCAGGACAGGCTGGGGGAGGAAGATCAGTCCTGGCTGGGCCTCCCTCCGTTACCTGGCAGTAGTGGGGGAAGACAGAGGTATCTTTTCTACTGCAGAGTGAGGGATGAGTCAAAGGGGGTGAGGGGAGGCCTCCCATGGGGGTAGGGGTGGGGGCAGGTGCAGCCATAGATGCCCCCCGACTGAGGCCTCTAGGGGAGCTGAGAGGTGGCCAAAGGCCTGACTGGAGCCAATGAGCTCACGACTCCACGTGCTCACTCCGTTGCAGGCTCACTTTCTCTCGCTGCTGCCAAGGGGGCGATGGCTTCTCTTCTTTCCATGGCTCCCCCCATTGTCTCCCTACTCTGGGCTCAGTCAGACCTTTCATTTGGGAGGTTTAGTCCCATCTGTCACCAAAGGTCCAGTTTTCTCTAGGAGAGGCCAGCTTCCCAGACACACCTTCTGCAAGCGGTGGAGCGACGCACAGCTTTGGGTTAGTAGATATGAGCTTGGGGAGCCTGAAGAGTCTGGCAGCAGCTTAAACCATCTTCCACCTGTGGCTGACAGCAAAGAGCCTGTGTAAGGGCTGAGGCCAGGTCAAGGTCCAGCAAACAGTGGGGGAAAGAGAGAGCCCTTCTTAGGGATCAGGTCCATGCCCGGAGGAGTGGAGGGTAGGCCGCTCCTGGCTCAGTCTTTTCATAGGGGGATGGCACCCCAGTATCCACTTGGCAGCTCCTAGTTAGATGACTGCTCAAGATGCAAAAGAAGAATGGCTGAAGGAAGATTTTGGATACTGGCCTAAGACAGAGAGAAGTGTGAGTTCAGGGCTGGGGACATTTGTGCAGAGTTGGAGTGCACTGGCCCACAGGTCCAGTGAGTCCTTCCTGCTTCATCACCAATGGCCCTTTGTCTCATGAAGATCAACCACCTCTCCCATCCCCAGCCAACTGTACAGCCATAGATGTCCAGGGGAGAAGCCGACATCCCCAACTGTCATAGCAATGCGTTTCCATTCCTTGAAGTATATTTGCTATTTTGCTGTCCCTCTTCGTGGCCCCAAGTTTGGTGCTGGAGTTGGCCTCCACTGTGTCATGCCATCAAGAAAGAGTGGGAAAAGGTATGTCCACAGCAAGAAAGAGTCTCCTTGCCCCATGTCCAAGTCCCCTTTCCCGGCAGGCTATCTTCTATCTTAGAGGGCAGTCCTAAGGTCACCCCCAGGTTGAGGAAGTCAGCAGAGAGTGGGATTTTTTCTTTTGGATCGGACTCCGGCTGCCAAATGACAGCACTCTTGAAGCATCTGTTCCTGGGTTTTCCTGGGCCTTCCTCCCTCCTTCACCCCAGGGAAGAAGCATGGACTGGCCAGAACGGATGAAGAACTTGAAAGATCCTTTGGCTTCAGTCCCTTGTGGTGGGCTGAAGGTGAGCACATCCTCTTGTCCCTTTGAATGAATGGCCAGTCTGCTGATTCTTGTTCCCACCCAGCATCTCAAATCTAGAATCCACCTAAAGTTATTCACCTTCCCTGGCTCTGTGGCCTGGGTTGAGCTCCTTTCTATCTTACAACCAATTCCCCATTTTTCTCTCTCCTTCCTCTTGAATCTCAGAGGGCTTATAGCAGAGGGAAGCCAAGGAAAGTTCTATTGGTTTTCCCTTCTCTCTGTTGCTTTTCTGTTCCTCTGGCCCTCTGTCCTGCCACTCTGTTGATTGTTTTCGTCTTTTAAAACCTTTTCCCCACCATCTCCCTTTGCCATCTCTCACATCAACCTCTTTCCTGCTCTGCAAAATGCAGGGCTGTCCAGATGAAAGCCAACAGGCTGGGGCAGGACCAGTGGGTCAAACTCAGACCTGTTGGGCTCGAATGGTGTGGCACCCAGTGGCAGTTACTTTCGGAGGATCTGAGGACCGAAATGGGATAAGCCAGGCAGAGTGGTGCATACACCACCAAGTGTTGGGAGCCCACCCAGCTTGGTGGGCATGTGTGAACACACGTGGGAAATTACTAAAAATCCATTGCTGTGCCCACAAAGAGCTGAGTTCTCTGCTCACGGGACTAGAGGCAGGGACAGCTTGTGTTATGAGTTATAGCAGAGAATATGAGTTTCCCCAGAATGAGGAAGCTCCTCAGTGCCCCCATAGGAACTACTCTGAAGAGGTAATACAAGCTTTTGAAAGAAAGCAAGGAAGAAAGAAGACAGACAGAAAGAAAAGATTTATATGCCTATATAGGGAGACTTGTAGATAGATACAAGTTGGCTTTTTTTTCAGCCTATCCTCTTCCACAACAGCTGCTGCACTAGCTGGAAGTTGAATGATATGAGGGACTAAAGTAATGCTTCAGGTCACCGGGAAGAATGAGTCTTTCTAAGATGGGCTGTGTTCATGTCTACGAATATGCAAGAGGAGTGAAATGCATACATGTTTAATATTTATGGGTCTTCTTAGGAAAACCTATCTAATTTCACTCAATTATGAATTTGCCTTATTTTCAGAGGAATGGAATGCATTTTAGTTTTTGTAACTTTGAGGGAAAAACAACATCCCACTGGGGTAAGAGGGGAAGGAGGAATGGGGTCGAGCCGTCCACACTGTGGCAGGAGAAAGAGAAGGACCCGAGAGAGGCACTGACACATTTTGTCTTTTCCTTTCTCCCCCTGACCAATCCAGATTAAGAGAACTCAAGGGTGTCATCGAATGCCACATCTCAGGCCTAGCGCCCCAACCTCTCCCCAGCCTAGGCCAGGGCTGGACTCAGTGACAGACCCAGGCCTGTTCCTGTGCCCTTTCCTTCCCACCCGCACTCCTCTCTTCCATCTTGTAACCCTGTCCATCGCTCCTCTCTTCTACACACTTTCTTCCCTTCTCTCCCTCCTGCTCTTCCTCTTTTCTCTTCTCTGTTCATTCAACTTGCCTCAAAAAGAAAACCGCTTTCAAGGGGAGGAGGGGTGTCTCCTTATCTGTCCGCACCTCTGTTGTTGTCATTGTCAAAGTGGAGCCCTTGCTAGAGATTCCGAGGTCCTCAGTTTCCTCAAATATAGATCATATATATTTTCCCTTAAATGAGATGAAATGAGTGGTGTCCTGGGGTGGAGGGAGGCGATGGCTGGAATTGGGGGGTGGGAGTGGGAGGGGGAAGGATGCAGGGAGGGGGACGCATCACTCAATGTTGCTGCTGTCGAAGGCGTGGCACTGAAAGTCCCCGTCGACATACTCCATGCCCGGCAGCTTCATCCCATACTTGTCCACGCACCAGCAGATGCCACGTTTGCGGCCGCGGGAAGGCTTGCACTGAAGCGTAGGGGGGCAAGAGACAGTGAGGACGCTGCACCCAAGGCCCTGTCCCTGTGTTCCCGGTCTCTTCCCTACCCCAAGACAAGCTCTCCTCCCCAGGGAGTTGAGGGGGCCACACCCAACCCTTACATTTCTGGGGTCCCCAGAGGAAAATACTACTTTAGGCAGATTGCCCTCAGCTACCTCTTTTGTACATTGCCTATTTTGGGTCTTCCAACCCGGAATTCTCCAGGGATGTTCAGGGGAGGAGGAGGCCGATCTCTTAAACATGCGAGTGGCAGTTGTCACCATGGGAGGCACCACTAGCTGCTGGATCATGTGCCAGGCACTGCTTAGCCCTTGCCACATGGCAGGAGCTGTTCAGAGTGCTCTGTCAGGCATACTCACCTATTTGTCACTACTGAGTGCTGTGTGGCCTGCTAGTGTCCCCTCCCCACGAGGAACAGGAGGCACAGAGACTTTTGACAACTGAGCCCAAGGGTCACAGCTGGCAAGTGGCACAACCAAGATGGACCCCAATGTGGTTCCTAACTGCCAACTTAGATAGGGGTTCCTTTTAGGTAGAATCAGGGTCTTCTGGGAAGTTGTTAGAAATGTAAAACCCTCAGAGTCTACCCCAGACTGGTCTATCAAAAACCCTAGGGGCAAGGCCCAGCACCAGTACTTTAAGGAGCCCTGGGGGCTGTTCCATGACCTTGGAAGCCTGGGAGCCATTACCAAAAGCCAAAGCACTACTGCTCACATGAAATAATTTCAAATGGTGCATAGAGGAAAAAGGTTTTAGTCCTGTGTGCATGTGTGTGTGCGTGCATGTGTGTGTGCGTGCGTGTGTGTGTGTATGTGTGTGAGCAGCAGAAAGGCATTTAAGGAACATAGACAATATGTGATCTGAGGAAATGTTACAAAGTTTCCTCCTTCAATGAATTCATGTAGATAAGGTGGATTTGTGAAAAGCTGAGATTTATAACAGAGGAGGGAAAAGGAAATCATGATTTCAGTATATGAATGGATATTAGAGGTTCAGGAGATCCCAAATCATTAACAGCAGAAATCTCAGCCATTTGTGTGAGTCAGAGGTTTCCTGGCAGGTACCAGGATGTGTCTGAGCCCGGGAGCCCACACAGTGGAATGTACCTGCTTTCTCTTATAGAATCCTTTGCGGTCACAGTTGGGCAGGTACACAGCACGGGGCACCATTCGTGGGCTGGCTTTGAGCTCCTGCAGGGAAGCTTCCATGTGTCTACGGCAGGGGCCCTGTGAGGACAGGAGGGATGAGAGGCGCAGCAGAACCCAAGAGAAAATCACCCTGATGCACAGATGTATGGTCCAGGTGTGGGGTCCAAAGTCACCATTTTTAGTTCTAATCAGCTGCTTTCAAATACCTTTCCTCCTTCCGATGTCCCTGGGGAATATTAAAAGTCTGTATTTGGTCAGGTACAGAGTCTTATTTTCCCTTCTGCCTTGAAGTCCTCCCTCCTGCAGCTGTTCAACCCAGCTGAGCAATTCCACTCAAAGATTGCTGTCTCTGGTTGCTCTAGGAGAATGTTTAGTCTCCCCCGAGGACTGGACACAGCTCCAGGGTTCACATACCTGGCAGACAGTCACTGTGCTGGTAGGCACTCATTCTCGAGGGACTCTTACCTCTATTCTCATTTACCTGGACAACTCTCAGTCCTGATAAATGCAAGCTCCAAAAATAATCCTCCCAAATCCTAGGCTGTGTAGACAGAGCTACACAGTAAGCAATCAGTTCTTGCGAAGTTTAGCCTATGTATGTCCTGTTGCCACAGACACTATGTAGGTGCAAGGAAAGGTCAAATGTTGGCACGGTGGCAGCAGGAGAGAGGGGCAGACAATCCCTGGGCCTCACCTGCTCAGATTCCTGTCTCATCTCAGACGCAGAAGTGACCCGAGGGTGGGCAGTGTTCTCGGCTCCCCCCACAAACTTGGACTGGGTCAGCTTCTTCCTGCGGTCCTTCTTCACAGCCTCAGCCTTCAGCTCAGAGATGCGAGTGTGCTTGGGTCGGAAGATCTTGGGGGAGTACGTCTCCTCAGTCACCTCAGAGGTAGTCGGCTCCTCGTGCTCACTGGAGTCTCGCTCTGCAGGGAGAAGGGATGGAGGGTCGGTCTCAGAGGTCTGGGGTGAGGGGAGTAATAAAGGCTGAGGCAGATGGGGTCTCTGCCTTCTTGGAGCTCAGCAGACTGGAGGACTCAGGGAGAGAACAAGAAGCAGTGTTCATTAAGTGGTGAGGAGTGTGCCTGAGACTATCTGCGAAGTGAGACCAGAAGGCTTCACGGAGAAGGGGAATCTTAACGAAGTCTCACTGGTCTGTACATGGGGCCGTGTTTGGAGGGTAAAGATCCAGATATCTGGGCAGACGAAGGAAAACAAACCAGCCAGGGCATGAGCACCAGCCGGGGCATGAGCAAGAATGACCAAGTCTGTGCTGTTGGTGAGATCTTCATGCTTTTAGAACTGTTGGGCATTGAGAGGCAGCTGGACCTGGGGAGCGAGGGGCAGAAGCAGCAGGGCAGCAGACAGCATCATTAGGAGTAGGCGACGGGGACCTGGGAGAAGGCAGAGCCTGAAGTGTGGGCCCCGGAGGGGAATGGTGTGGGGCCACATGGCATCCAGAGGCCTCGCTCCTTGCTTCAGCTCAGAACTGGCTTCGTGCTCCCGGCCCTGGGAGGCTGGGACATTACTCAGCTCCCGTCTGAGAGAAGCAGACAGCTGGCTGCAGCCACAGCAGTTATATATAGGAGAGACGTGGTGACAGTCTATACTTAGCTGACTTATGACCTTTAGAGAAGCAGGATTTTGTTCATGTATTTGTTGGTCAGTTAATTCCACTTGCCTGGCTGTTCTCAGTCCACAAATTTGCAGTAGATTGCCCCCTCACAGGCACCCACTTTCTCTTCTCAGCTCCCTGACCTCTAGCCTCAGTAGCAGACTCAGAGTGGGAGACCTTGAATTGCTGTTCCCAGGTGGTCAGCGTGCAGCCAGGATGTCCCTGGTGAGGTGGAGCCAGGAGGCCCTGACCTCACTGCCCTCTTTTCAATTATTCAGAAAAGGAGATAAATTTGAGTGACCCCAAATAACTAAAAAAGAGGTGAAGCAAAATCTCATGCCATTATTCCTGGATACTCAGGAATGTTGATAGCCAAGGATGAGAAACTGAAGATGGGGGAAGAATTCAAAGAAGTTGGGAGGAGGGGATTTTGCAAAGAAAGAGGAGCTTTTGGGGAAGAGGCAATTAATTGTATGTTGCCTGGGAAAGTGAACCTGGACTCCTAAGCTCTCCAACCAGAGAAAGTTTAGATGGATCTCAGGGGAGGCATTTGGAGACCTGGCCTAATCTTGTCAGGATGGCAGGTGGCAGGAAGCTCCCGAGCACTTGTTCCTCTCTGACTTGTCAAGTTTAATGAACCAGGTATTGGTCCTTTATACAGTGCTGGCAGGGAAGGGCCCACCTTGAAGAAACCTCCTTGGGTCCACGGTGATCCTGGTGGTTAGTCACAGGAGAGGAAGGGAAGTAATTACTGGGGAGGAAGAAAATGGGAGAGAAAGCACATAGCAAGACTGTAGAAGGTTCTCCCAGAACCAAGCTCAGCATTAGGGCCCTGGTCCCCCATTGGCTTCCTACTCCTCTATCTCAGCACCCCGACTCCACATTATCACAACCTGCTGTGATGACCAGTCCCCAGGCTGATATGTCTAGAGGTGGAAAGGAGGTTATAGGGATTAAGAGTTGTGTCTTGTGGTAAACCAAATTCCCTTGATTATGGAGCAGGTCAGATAGGGGACAGGGATTCAGGGAGGAGCATGGCTGGTTTGGGGTACTCTGTGGAAATGGAAAGGCTAGGGCCCCATCATCTAGTAACAGGCCCCAACCTGAGACTTGGTCCTGGGGCAAGAGTGGAGGGAGAGCTAACCATGATATAGGAAAGTGGCTGGCCCGTTTCACTGAGCGACTCCTTGGGCACCATCAGGCATCCTAGCCCTCAAAAAAGAGTAGAAAACTGCAGGATTGGGGGGAGGAGGTAGGAGATGTCTGCCATTGAAAGGGCACCCTTGGGGTCCATAGCCAGGCTTCTTCTCCAGGCCAGATCGTAAGCAGATGAAGTGAATGTGGGCTGGCTTCTAGCCAGTGTGTGAGCATCAGTGCTCTGCTCTAGCTTGCCTTGCAAAGCCAGCAAATGGTCTCCAGAGATGGGCTTCTGGGAATCATCTCTTTAAGGAGTGAGCCCTGAAAGCTGGGTCCCTCCTGTAGCTGGTTGAACTAGCTCCCAGAAGCCTTTGGAGGGGCATTTAGTCCATTCTACTGTGTCCAAGCAGAAGCAAGTCCACAAGTCTCTCAATGGTGTGCTCTCTGGTTCTTAAACATGAGGGTACCATCCTATCCTATCTACTTTTGTGTGGAGGGACAACTCTGTCCCTTTGGTTAGAAGATGTCACCTTTCAGCTTAATTCTCTGTCTCTGGCCTTGCTGGAGATGGATGCATGAGACTCACAGCCTTCACTAAATCAAGATTGCACTTTTAGTACTTTATCTAAAGAGTGTCTTGGGCCATCCTTAACCTTGGATCACCTTTCTGGGAGGAGCTTGGGGCAATAAATCCTGAAGCAAAATTTCCTTTGAACTTTCTAGGTATTTTCTTTGAAATTGTTTAAGATATGCTGTGGGGCTAAGCAATGATGATACTAGAAAGCAAAATGTAGAATCTGGTATTTTTCTTTAAGGAATTTAAAACACTTTTGCCACCTCACAGCCTCAGCAAGGTGGGGCATCCTGAGGGCATGCATCCCATGACTCCCAGAGTTTGTAGCCTCTGGTTGCTCCTGAAGGACAGGTATAAGCTTTTGGTGCCACTTAACCCCATGTGACCCGTTACTTAGGTAGCAGGAGAGTCAAGTATCAAAGATACTAATCAGGGTCCTGTGGTCACCTGTAGGCTCCAGAGAGACAGTAGAAACTTGGAGCGGGGCCAGTGAGGAGCCATGAAGATTAAAGAGCTGGAAAGCTAGGCTGGAGCTGGGGATGCCAGAGCCAGCTAACCTTACTCAGCTGCTTTGTAATCATTAAGAGGCTTTCAATTTTAGAAGGGCTTAAGTTTTAGGCAAAATAAAAGGGCGCAAATAGGTTAGGTACTCCTGAGCTATCTAACCAAGAAAAAATGAACTGAGGTTTGGGAAGGGAGTTAGATGGGCCACAAAGGAGGACTTCTTGGAGAAGATTGCTCTGCATCTGAACCGCAAGGAAGGAATTTGATAGTCAGCTGTGGAACCCCAGGTCAATACCTGCTGGTGGCCAGTAGATGGCGTGAGAGACTGACATCCACACAACCTGGGCTCATCTCTAGGGACTGCTAGCAAGTTTAAAATCTGGAATTTGAGTGTTTTCTTTCTCCTACTTCCCTGATAATCAGTCCAATTCTTTCCCTCAATTTGTGTATCTCCAGCATGGACTTAAAGGGAAAGGAAGATGGACGAATGAGGATTGTGTGGGGAGAGAGGAGAAGGCAGCTGAGGGAGGTGGAGGAAAGGGAGACAACTCTCATTTGTACATAATATCCTGGAAAATGACCCAGAAAGAAAGAGAAATACATTCCAGTTATCTCTGTCTCCAGATGTCATTTTGAGAGGGTACCACAGAGGACGGGAAATGTGGAATAATCAGTATCTTTTTTCGTTCTGGAAGTTGTGCAGGTTCCCTTTGATTCCATGATCTTATCCAATGACTAAGGGAGGGAGACAGCCACCATATTATCCGGATATTATGGTATCAATGAGTTCTGAGTCTACTATGGCTTTTAGCCACAGTCCTTCCACCCAGTGCCCCCACCCCCACCACATCAGCGTGCCCGGCTCAGTTCCCCTTTCACCATGGACAGCAGCACCCACAGAGGCACATATGGGCACAATGCCCTCTCCCTATGACAGCATGAGCCCACGAGGACTATGTTGTTTTCCATGTTCCAGCAAACACAAGGGACAGGTGCAGGTGCTGTGGACCCAGAGGGTCCCAGGGTGGGTGGTGCTGCACACAGCACAGCTGCCCAGTGTACACACCCTATTCCAGCTCAACCACCTTCTCCAAACCTGCCTGGGGCCGCTGCTGTTCTCTCGTCGGGTTCAGATGCTTTACCAGCAGCTGCAAGCATTCCAACCTACCTTGCTTCCATTCCCATAGCAATGGATGGGTCTGGGTGGGGACCAGCTGTTCCATGAAATCTAACCTTCCACCCCAGGGCTCTTGGTCCTGCCCTGGCATCATTAGAAACCTGGACCTTGGGCTGGTGTCTGTTTCCTGCTCTATCTTGACCTCATAATCAAACATAAAAGAAAAGAGGTGGCCCAGATAGTGCGACTTGATTTACTGCAGCTGAAGGAACGGAGGCTTGCTTAGAATCCTCAGCCCAGGAAGAGTACAGGGCTCTGCCAGGACACATCCACGGGGAGATTCTCCAGTCTCTTTTTGAGCTGGAGTGCAAAATGGGGTGCCCAGAGTCTCCCTATGAGGAATGAAAAGGGGAGCTGGGTTTCCTCTGGCTCTCATCCTAGCTCCTTCTCTGGGATTTAAACAGCCACATTCTTAAGGGCAGAGGTTTGTTATTTATCTTTGACTCTCCGGTGGATGTAGCCAATCAATAACCTTTAAATGAGTGAGTGAGTCTGCCCAAGCAGCAAGGAGAAACAGTCTAGGAGCATTTCTGTAACATGGAATATGCCGGGGCAAGTTAGAGCTCGAGGGATACCCGGGGAGGAGGTCATTTCATTCATGCCCTTGCCTCAAAGCATGATTACCCTGGGGCAGAAAGGCAGTGGGAAGCCCAGGAAAATGAGCAGAATGAAGGTGGGAAAGAGGCAGATGCTCCAGGTCTACTTTCTTTGGCTTAAGACTGTGCTATTCAATACAGCAGCCACTAAGCTACTTAATTTAGTATGAAGTACAATGAAAGACTGAGTCCTGAGTCACTCTTGCCACATTTCAAGTGCCCCATTGTCACATGTGGCTAGTGGCTACTGTGCCGGCCAGTGCAGATATAGAACACTTTCATCATCGCAGAGAGTTCTACGGGACAGTGCTGGCTGAGGGCAC